TTTACACAATAATACAATATCTGTATATGTACTAACATTTTTTGATACTTCTCTACACTGCAAATAAACTTCCGTAATGAATTAGATCTTTATTAGGAGTTGAATGAAATAATACTAACATCGCCTGTGTGTTGCCTGTGGCTTTAGCATGAGACAGCATTAGAGCATCCCAGCTTTCGCAAACTTATTATGCCTTCTGGTTGAATATTTACGTCATCCTCTATTCATTCTAAATCTGGGGCGAAGATACAAAATCGAACAGAAATGGAAAGGATCCGCTGCGAGGCTAAGGACAAAATGACGAACACTGTGTACACAGTGAACCTCGGCGATAGAGGTAAGCCTAAATCGGATTGTATGCAAATGCACAGTTCTAAGTCTGTTAATTATCTTGAGTCAAACGCTTTTCCGAGATGTACCACCATTCAGGGTTTCTTGAACAGCGCCTGCAATTTGCTTGATATGGATTAAAGCTAAAGGTCCCAATTTTACTTTATCCCATTTCGCAACATGTTCGCTTAAACTATGCACAAATGTTAATTGTTGGAGCCAAAATTTGTTCTATTACTTACAAATAATCCACACGCTTCGTTACAGGATTATGATAACTTCTATGTGGTTCAATTTTCAGATCATTCTGACTCATATTATCAATATGGTTTGAAGTAAACTTGCATATTTCAATTGCTTTTAACCTATAGGTGTATTTTACCGATCTTATTACATCTAGTTCGCGTCAGCATACGGACTTTAGCCCAATCTCAAGCATTGTGTGTCCATTTGGCTAAACGCTCCCTGTTTCATGGGATGCATTGTAGATTGGACTTGTAAATTTTCACACTTCTTGCTCAGTCCACCTCACATTTTGAGTTTGCATATTATTTACCATTAATTTATGAAACCAAATAACGACTTATGAAAGTGCATTTCAAATAATTTTTCCCTTATCGGATAAATTCTCAGACTAGAATGGTAAATAGATTTTTCCAAAGGGCATACATTGCATTTTTTGCAATAGTGGAATTCTTCGTTAGTCCTATCCTTAAATAAACACAGAATTATAAATAATCTACAAATAGGCCCTAAAGTGCAACCTTATAATGTTTTGTCTTGTTTATGCACTTTGTTGTTATGAATAGCACCAGTTTTGATGCCAAAAGTCATTTAGGCAATAGTTTGGCTTTTGAATGAATACCTGAATAGCCAACCGGTGGATAATCAGTGACGACCCTACCAAAATAATTTGGTTTATTCCCCATTAAAATTCCCCTTTGCTTTCCTCAGTTTGTCCGCTAAGTGAACTTATATACAAATAGTCCAATAATAAAGTATAAATATGCTAGATATATTTTTTAACTAAATTAAAATAATTACAGTTAAATAACAATATCAATATGCTCCTAGCAAAGTTGTCGATTCATAATAGTGTCATATATGCTTGGGAATTTATCGAACAGAAACAATTGGTCCTTGATCATTTCTTTCCATTATCCATATTACTTATGCTTCATTTATACGATACCTCCACTTTTTTTTATTTCGTCAGTTTAGTTAAAATATACTCACTATATTCATTTCTGGTCCCTTTTAAGAGGTAATATTTGCTTAAACTTCTGCCCATTTTTCCTTTGATAAAAGTTCAAACCTTGGGAATCTTATTTCAGAGGCAAGGGTTGCTCGCTATGACTACAGAATTGGAATTCGTTATCCCACTGAGAGCCCGCGTACCAACGAACCCTTCGAGATGATTTGTAATTTGACGCCAATGCCACAATCCCCAGTGAACTTCACCTGGACATACAGAAACCGGGTGATTGCTACATCACCAGTGTACGCTATACCTCGATTTTCTTCTTCCACTACTGGGAATTATACTTGCACTGCATCATTTGAGGAGTCTGGACAGAAAGTCGCTCTTAATAGCATCCTCTTACTCAACATGCGAAGGTCTCTTGAACGCGAGATATGTACGTAAAGTTTGATTTGATTTTGCAAATAAAGTTAACACATTTTCATTATATATGCACCGATAAACTATTTATTTATAAGAATATTTATTATAATTAGCCTAATTAAGATTGATTCAATCTCCAGGCTACAATATTGTCCCATCTATGATTAGCTACCATTAATTTTTTATGAAACTTGCGCAAACTCAGAATCTCTAGGTTTAAAAACATCTTTTTTTCGTGTTTGAGTAGAGTTTTGGGACTACCAGTAAATCAGTAATATGAGAAGTATTCACACTATTTCGTTTAAGGTGATGAAGGACTGGTAGTAGAATTTTTCTAAAATCATATGAGTAAAACTGACTTTTCCATTTTCACGGTTCGACTCCCATTTGGGGTGTTGGTAAGACCGATGCGAGGTCGAAACTGCAGTCCACTCTAGTCAGGATGAGAAAAGCTTATGTGAAATTCAATTTAAACGTCAGATCTACTCATATCATTAAGGAAAAATTCTACTACCAGTCCTTAATAGGCTGTATATGCTGAGAATGGTTCAAGTTTTCATTCATTTTGCAACTCAATAGTTTTAGATATAAAATAAATACTAGTTAATAAATAGAAAACTTTAAAAATGACTTTATTACAAATTCTGTCTAGCTAATCAAACTCTTAGACAAATAGATGCTTCTATTTAAATCACATTGTAAAATGTCTTTTTAATCACGCCAGTTTTCCTCATTTTTAATTATTCATACTACTGACT